TGGGCGCCGGGGGGGACGCGCCGGCCCCGGCCGCGGCCCCGGCCCCTGAGAAGGGCAAGGACGGAGACGCCGACGTGGGCAGCGGCCACTGGGATCTGAGGTTAGCGGAGCTACTGACTCATAATCTCTGGCCACCGACCGAGACCCTTGCGACCCTCCCCTGCCCTCGGGCGTGGCCGCAGCAGCGCGGGCTCCTAGTCCGAGAGCCTGGTCCCAGGACTTCGCGTAGACTGGCGTGCCCCTTGGGCTCCCATTGGGAAACTGAGGCCTCGGGGTGGAGGGTCGCCTGCCGAGGTCACTCGGGGGGCGCAGAAGGGAGCCGGCAGCAGCCCCAGCTCCCAGACCCTCCTCGGTCTGCACATCCTCGGGTGGGTCCTGATGCTCTCGCAGGGTGAGTCAGGAGCCTCGCGGCTTAGGCGGGCTGGTTCCAGCCATGCACAAGTTTCCTCTGTCTGGAGGGAGATGATTTGGATCCGGCGATTTGGGATGAAGGGGGTCCCTCCTGAGGGCTGTGAGGGGTGCCTTAGGGGTAGAGGAGGGCGGGCCAGCTGGGGAGGGGACCAGCAGGAGACTGGGGCTGCCTGAGGACAGGAGCAGTAAGAGGCTTTTCTGTCCATGCAGAGGAGAGACAGGGGTCCCTTCCTTTCCTGGCTCTTTCATCCCTCACCCAGTGCTTGGCTGGCCCGGGGCCCTAGCGCTTGCTGTAGGGACAGAGTTGGGTCCTGGTTGGAGTACAGGAGAGGGGTTTGAAGTGGGCCCACCCACAGGTGAAATTCTGACAGGAGGCGTCAGAGGAAGCGGCGAGGCTGATGGGGAGGACCTGGCTTGTCTGAACACTGGCTTCATCTTCCAAGATGGCGCCAAGAGGTCCTTTTGCCACCCTCCAGCCTTCATCTTGGCTTAGGGGGCCTTGGGGGCTCTGGCTTTGGGAGCAGCATCAGGACTAGAAGTTACCAAGGAGGAAGTGGACAGTCGGTTGGTTGGCAAGGATTTGCTCTCTTAGTAAACAAGAACTGAGGCTTTCTTCATGGGGTGCCCTGGGGATAGGGGTGGGCAAGGGCAGCTGGGGTTTGGGCACTGTCCCCGCCCTTAGAGTGCTCACAGTCCACCTGAGAGATAAGATAATCCCAGTGCTGAGCAGTGTGAGCAAAGGTCAGACACGAAGTTCACGAAGGCTTTGTCCCAGAGAAGGGTAGCTCTACTGAGCGGGGTGCTTGCTTCCTGTGGGGTACTGTTGAGGGAGGCTGCAAAGAATGGGGGTTCTGGAGTACCCTCTGTTAACTCCCTGAGTTATCTTCTCCAGGGGGCAGGGGCATGGCTAGCCCTAGAGGAGGTGGGAATCAGGCCCTTTTGTGTGAGATGGGGTGCAGGGAGGGGGAGTACTGGCTCTAGGCCAAGCTGCCACTCTGGAATGGGTAGTCACTTTGCTGCTCTGCACAGGCCAGGTGGCCAGAAGCCTGTCCTGTGCTTTTGCTAGCTGGGTGGAGTGAGTGGGGTCCCTGTCTGCCCACCCTAGAGGTCTGGACCTCTGGGAAGAGGAGCAGTAGGTGGCAGGGATGGGCCTGCCCAGGGCTGGAGGGAACCTGGTGCTTGCAGTCCCCTCCTGGTTTCCAGGACATGTAGACTACGTGTGCTTGTTCCTCAAACCAGGATGCCACAAGGTTCAGCGTCCCCTGGGGTTGGGGCTTTGGTCTGAGGGGTGGCTGAGCCTGCCTTGTCTGGCTGCCCTCCTGGGACTTGGCCTCTGGGACACCACCTCCTCTGACCTGCCTGTCCCCCCTGCTTTGTGGCCTTTTCTCTCTCCCTTCCTTCTTACCCCTCCCTATACTTCCTGCTCACCTTGGCCTGGGCAGGAGGCAGGTCAGGCTCTGGGTATGAGCTCATTTTTTCCAGCCCAGGGGCAGGGTGTGGCTGTGGGGCAGGAAGGAGAGGGCACCCCTTTCTGCTATGCCTGTAGCTCACTCCTTCCCACAGCTCTCCCTCAGTTCATGGCTCTCCCAGGGTGTTTGTCCCTGGGGTGTCCTCTGTTTCTCCCCTTCCAGCAGGGTCTGAGAATATGGGTAGCTCACTCAGCCACCTTACACTCCAGGGCTTGGCCCAGAGGCTGGGTGGAAGAAGTGCTGAGGAGGTGGCCGCTGAGAGGTGAGCTGGCACTCTGCTCCCTCTTTGCTCTGCTTGGCCCAGGAGCTGGATCCTGTAGTCCCAGGCATGGTTCATAATTGGGGGCTGTGCCTCTGGGCGAGCTTCTAACCTTGTCGAGCCTCAATTTTTCTGTGTGTCCAGCTCCCAGTGCTGATGTGATGGCTGAGTGAGGTGACACGTGTGTGATGATTTAGAATGGCTCTGCTGGCTGGGTGGACCAGGGGAGTGGGTGTAGGACCCCCACAGGGCACAGAGGTGTGGGTAGCCCCAGCAGTAGGGGAGAGGGTGACAAAGACAGTTCTGGCATGATGGCCAGATCCTTCCTCCTATGCCAGTGTGCCTATCTGCTCTCTGGTTCACTGCTGCTTACTGCATTGGCGAGGCTGGACCTTTGTGGGCCTTGGTGGTTGGTGGGCTTCCTTCCCTGAATTGGCAGGTCTCTGACCTGTGGAGGAAGGGTGCTGCCTGGGGTTGAGGATGATAAGGAGGCCTGTGGAAGACACTGAAGGATGGGCATGGGCCAGTTGGGAAAGGTCTAAAAGGTTCTATAACATTATTTTGTGTCAGAGTGGAAAAAGACACCCTTTCTCCACCCTCATTTTCATCTTAGAGATTGCCGCAAATAAAGCCAGCACCGTCTTGGTGGCCCAAAGGGGGCAGGGGTCACAGTGTTGTGAAACAGCCCTGTGGGTGTGCCCTGCCAGCACCAGCACCGCAGGAGGAGGCTTTGGGTGTGTTCCAGTGAAAGCCAATGGGCTTGAACTTGGGGGAGGGCACCTGGGACAGGCTCAGAGACCATACTCTCTGGGGAGTTGGGCCTCGGACCCCTACCCACCTTTGTGGAAAGGCAGGTGCAGAGATTCATGGAGAAGAGAGCCTTAGGTGGAGATCACAGCCTTACTGTGAGGCCCAGGAGGGACCTGGAAGGTGGGTGCAAGTTGACCAGGCCTGCGACTTTGAGGCAGGTGGGCTGGGCAAAGTTGCAGATTTTGGTCTGGGAGGCAGAGGTAACTTGTCTGCACTGTCCTGGCTGAAGAATACTGAGCAGCATCTTGGCTTCTTGGTTCCTCACCTCTCATCTTGAGTGCTGACCCCAACTGTAGTCAGGCTTGCCACTGAGGCAGGGCTAGCCCTGAGAAGAGCTGTGGTGCCCACTTCCCTGATCTGGGTACCTCTCAAGACAGGGATGTATGTCTGCAGGAGGGAAGCGGAGGCTCTGGCCTCACCTCTTACAAAACTGGAGGCCTTGCTCAATGTTTTGTGGGGCTTCCTGCTGGCATGCTGCTGGGGTGAGGTTGGGCACAGCCTGTGAACAAGCTGTAGCCCCTCCTCCACCTCTGCATTACCCTGAGGATCAGGCAGGTCTGCTGATGTATCCCAACACCCTAGCTCTTGGTGGGAGCAATCCTGCATGCTTCTGTGGGAGACCCCCTGCCATTAGGTGGGCTCCTCTCAGCTCCCCAGCCCAGTAGGAACTCAGTACTTACCCATGGTTGAACTGGGACAGGCTGTCACTTCTCAAAACAATTGGGAAGCCACAAGTGCATGAGGGCTGGCCAGGCACTGCTCCCTGGAAGGTCACATAAGGGGTGCTCAGCTGGCCCTTGGCCTGGGTCCCTTTGCCTATTCAGAGGTGTGTAGGCCAAGTGTGAGGAGGAGGTAGTTTGAGGTGAGGACCCTTCAGCTCGCTGGGTGGTGATATGGGCTGACTGAGCAAGGTAGATTTGCCTCATGCCCCCACCTCTGTCCAGCATTGCTGGGTGGGCCCACAGATCCCTGGGGTGGACTCTTCCTGTGGACCCATCACCACTCCAGAGCCAGTGTGGGTGGTAGCAGCTAGAGGCCTCTGTGGAGTGAGGCTGGGCTCCTGGCCTAGGGTGCTCCAGCCCACGTTGCCCTGGGCTGGGCAGGGCTGGCTTGCTTCTGTCTATGGCATGCCCTTGCCTGGTGCTTGGAGGGGCGGGCCCTGAGGTGGTCCTGAGAGCAGGACCCTGCCTGGGTCCTCTCAGACTATAAATGGGGAGTAGGGTGTGTGAGTAGAAGAGAGGGTTGGAGTAGGGAATATGGACCATAGCTCCTGTGTTGGGATGGATAAGTTGCCCAGAGTGAGGGGCTGGATTTGGCCGAGCTCTCAGGTATCTGCCAGGGCCCTAACCTGTCCCGGTCCTGGAGGTGTGTGCAGCTTTTGGCCCTGCCCAAGGTTCTCAGTGTCTCCCACCCTGTCAGGTGCCACCGTCTGCAGGATTCTTTGTTCAGCTCGGACAGTGGCTTCAGCAACTACCGTGGCATTCTGAATTGGTGTGTGGTGATGCTGGTGAGTAGGGTGGTGGCTGGGGAGTCAATTGAGGGTGGCTTCTATTTGAGCACAATTTGTATGGCTGGGGTTTGTGTGGGAGGCCTTTGTGCTGTGAGCTGTGGTTGAGGGGTACTGGAGAACAGAGAGGAGAGGATAGGATGGGTGGCTGGCCCTGGGATGGTAAGCTGTGGGGTTGTGGACAGGGTGTTCTATGGGAACGGGGCTTCGCTAGCAGCATGCATGAGTGGTTTTGGGGTCTAAGAATTATTCCCTTTGCTCCTGAATGGTCCTTGTGGGTATGGAGCCCATGGCTGGTCTGGCCTGGGGCCAGCAGGGGTGAGATGGTGGCGTCGGGGCTCAGTGCAGCAACCCAGCCACTGCTCTGCAGGCCTCCAGCCCCTCTCCCTCAGCCTGGGTCATAGGTACCCCCCAGGAAGATGCCTCCACCTTACCCTGTGACCTGGCTTGAGGCCCCTGCCTCTGGGACTCAGTTCCTGCTGGCACTTTGTGGGGGTGGGACTAGCAGTCCTGGCCCAGAAGCAGCTGGAGTTCAGGGCTCAAAGGGGCAGTTATGCAGGGCGGGGCAGGGGACAAGGGCCTCTCTGGGCGTAGCCCCTACCACTCAGGGCTGATGTGGCCCTAGGCCTTCGACCCTCACCCCGACACGACACACCTGCCTCCGTGTCAAAGGCAAGGCTCCTGTGGCTGCCTGTGTGGAAGAGGCTCCAGGCACACCCATACCCTCCCTGCCTCTACTCCCAGGAGAGCTGTGGGGGGCAGACTGCCTGGTGGGTGAGAGGTTGGCTGGGAGTATGATGTCCCCTTGTCCTCTGGAGGCCATTCCTGGCCTGGGCTGAGTTTGTAAAGAGGCTTGGCAGCTGGGAAGCACTGTCTGTTCTGCAGCCCCTGGGCCTGCCTGGCCCTTAGCACAGCCTCACAGCCTTTGCCCCGCTTCTGGAGCCTCTGTCATCCCCACCCCGCAGATGTGCACTGTGCTCAGAGCTTCTATGCCCTCCCCTTTCTTGCAGATCTTGAGCAATGCACGGTTGTTTTTGGAGAATCTCATCAAGTGAGTGTCTTCCCTAGGGCCCTGGCCCCACCCTTGAGGCCCAGCTACTCTCACAGCCAACTCAGGCCCCCTTTACCTGCTCAGGCCCTCATCTCCCCAACCCCCAGGTACGGCATTCTGGTGGACCCCATCCAGGTGGTGTCTCTGTTCCTAAAGGACCCCTACAGCTGGCCCGCCCTGTGCCTGGTTATTGGTGAGCTCAGTAGGGAGGAGGGCCTTGGGTAGGAAGAGGACTCATCCTGACCTGAACGTGCCCTATGCTCTTCTGTTCTCAGTGGCCAATGTCTTTGCTGTGGCTGCCTTCCAAGTGGAGAAGCGCTTGGCGGTGGTAAGCAGTGCCCTCATGCCTCTTTCCTGGTCAGAGGTCCACTCTTCACCAGGCCTGGGCTTAGGGCAGGGTGCCACCTTCCCCACTATGCTTTAGACTGTGTGTGGCTTTCCTGGGAGGAGCTACATCCTAGGCCTGGCAGCTTTTGCCTAGGGAGACCCGTTGTCCAGGGAGTGGGGGCCCTGGCTGAGTATGCTCCTCTCCACCCCAGGGTGCCTTGACGGAGCAGGCAGGACTGCTGCTGCACATGGTCAACCTGGCCACCATTCTCTGCTTCCCAGCATCTGTGGCCTTCCTCCTGGAGTCCATCACTCCAGGTGCCCCCCCCATCCCAGCCTGTCTTGTGGGGGGCCTCAGGAGAGACCCAGGCCAGCTCAGGGGTTGCCCTGTGGCCGTAGCTCTCCTGTGGGTGGTGTGGGAGGCCATGGCCTGAGCCTGCCTCTCCTGCAGTGGGCGCCGTGCTGGCCCTGTTTGTGTACACCATCCTGTTCCTCAAGCTGTTCTCCTACTGGCACGTCAACCTGTGGTGCCGAGAGCGCAGGGCTAGTGCCAAGGCTAAGGCCGGTGAGGGGATGTCTGCCGTGGTGTGGGGGTGGGACCTGGGCAGCAGCAGGGCCTCACTTTACCCATTCCTCTCCTCCCCTCGCCACCTCCCAGCTTCTACAAGTAAGAAGGCCAACGGTGGGGCGGCCCAACTCACGGGCACCGTGAGGTACCCAGACAACCTGACCTACCGTGGTGAGGAGCCTGCAGCGCAGGCCTGAGGGTGGTGGTCGGACAGTGGTGGGGTCAGCAGGCTAGGCCCTGGTGCCAGCTCTGCCCTCCCATTCCAGATTTGTACTACTTCCTCTTTGCTCCTACACTGTGTTATGAACTCAACTTTCCCCGCTCCCCTCGCATCCGAAAGCGCTTCCTGCTGCGGCGGCTACTTGAGATGGTGAGGCTGGGGGGCTCTGAGGGGCTCCAGGGCTCACCAGATGCTGGGGGGCTCAGCTTGCTGCTCTCTGCTTTCTCCCTCAGCTGTTCTTCATCCAGCTCCAGGTGGGGCTTATCCAGCAGGTATGAAGAGCAGGATGGGGTGGGGTGAGGTTGGCATAGGTGTCCTGCCTGGATGCTCAGTGGGCAGGAGCTGAAGCTGTGCCCTCCTTTGCAGTGGATGGTCCCCACTATCCAGAACTCCATGAAGCCCTTCAAGGTGAGTGTTCAGGCTCCCCTGAGGCTTGGAGGGGGTGGGGTGGAATAGGGAGCCAGCTGAGCCTTGTCCCCACAGGACATGGACTACTCACGCATCATCGAGCGTCTCCTGAAGTTGGCGGTGAGCAGGCTGGGTGGTGGGTGGGGTGTGAGGGTAGGTGGCTGTGGAGTCT